TTACAACAGTTTGTTTAGTGGCGACAAAGTTATGACAACACTGGAAGAAGTGACTTATGACCGTTTTTCACAGTTATGACCTTTCCAGTATCCCCATGATCATGTCATCAAAATTTGGATGCTTGGCAACTGACTCACATTTATGACGGTTGCAGTGTCCCAGGGCCACGTGATCAGCTTTCCCACTTTCTGACAAGCAAAGTCAATGGGGAAGCCAGATTCACTTAACAACCGGATTAGTAACTTATCAACTGCAGTAATTCATGTAACAACTGTGGCAAGAAAGGTCGTAAAATGGGGCAAAATTCACTTAACAACAAAAATTTTGGGCTGAATTGTGGCCGTAAATCGAGGACTACCTATACTAATACCAACATAGCCATCACCCTAATCAATCAATCAATCAGAATAGAGTTGGAAGGGACCTTGGAGGTCTTCTAGTCCAACCCCTTGCTCAAGCAGGATAACCTATACTATTTCAGATAAATAATTGTCCAGTCTCTTCTTAAAAACTTCCAGTGATGGAGTGCCCATGATTTCTGAAGGCAAAGCTGTTTTACTGGTTCATTGTCCTCACTGTTAGGAAGTTTCTCTTTAATTCCAGGTTGCTTCTCTCCTTGATTAGTTTCCATCCATTGTTTCTTCTCTTGCCTTCTGGTGCTTTGGAAAATAAGTTGACCCCTCTTGTTTGTGGCAGCCTCTCAAATACTGGATTTCTGTATGATAGCAGTGTTCCAGTATTTGATAATCTGCATTTGCTTTGTTTTTTTGTGAGGCTCACGAATGAGGATATGAAAGGAGCCCCGAACTGGGCGCCCCCTGGGCAACAATCATGTCACTAGTTAGGAAAGGATTAACCAGTGACATCATTGTTACCCGGGAATGGGGGCTCCTTTCATGTCCTCATTCATGAGCCCACTGAGGTGGTACCTATTTATCTATTTGTGTGTGCACACTTTCAAACTGCTAGGTTGGCATGAGCTGGACAAATGATGGGAGCACACCCCATCACACAATAGCACCTGGGTCCTGAATCACTTAGGAGGCGATTGAGGTATCTCAATCACTTCCTAAGGATTTCTCTTCACCCTTTCTAGGTTCTCAGCATCTTTTTTTGAATCCTGGTGACTAGAACTGTATGCAGTACTCCAAGCGTGGCTTTATTAGTGTGGTATAAAACTGTAGCTTCCCATGATCTTAATGCAGTCCTGGGATGCACTGGCTTTTTTGGCAGCTGCAACACACTGCTGGCTCATATTTAAGTGATGGTCTTACTAGGACACCCAGATCTCTTGTGTAGTTGCTATAGTTGAGCCAGGCACCACCTGTTCTCTACCTGGGGTTTTTGTTTTTCCTGTCAAAGTGCAAGGCCTTACTTTTCTCACCCTTGATCTTGTCGTCTCCATAAATTCTTGGTTCCATTTCCATCCCTAACTTCTTTCACACAAATGAGAAGCTATGAGCTGAAAAATTGTCAATCCCATTACTTGTATTGATCTGATCATGTTACTGGATGATCTACCACAGTTCCTCCAAAAGGTTTGGAAGCACTAAGTCACAACCCCAAAAATTAGCATTGTGAAGAAAATTATCATGGCATCATTATGAAGAAAAATGTCCATCTATGGGTCACCAAGAGTCAACACCAACTTGATGACACATAATCAACAAGATGTGGCGATAAGTATGTCCAACTTGCCAAGGTGAAGTCCCAACTACTCTTCAGAGCTAGAATGGATGGGACAGATTGGAAGCTGGAAATGCTGGTGGGGGAAAAAACTGCCTTAGACTCATAGGGATGGACGAGACCTTGGAGATCTTCTAGTCCAACTTTCTGATTAAGGCAGGAGACCTTATATCATCATGGATAAATGGATGTCCAATCTTTTCTTGAAAACTTCCAGTAATGGAGCACCCACAATTCCAAGCGAAAAGTTATTCCATTGATTAATTGTTCTCAGGAAATTCCTCATTTCCAAATTGGATCTCTCGCTCTGAAGAGCTTTGACCCATTGCTTCTTGTCCTGCCTTTAGGTGCTCTGGAGAATAGGTTGACCTCCTCTTCTCTGTGACAGCCCTCAAGTATTGGAAAACTGCTATTATGTCACCTCAGTCTTTCTCTTCAATAGGCTAGACATAACCACTTTCCTTGACTGGTCATCATTTAATTTATCCTCCAGTCTCTAATCATTTTTGTTGCTCTTCTCTGCATTCTTACTGGGGTCTCAACCAGGGGTGAAATCCAGCAGGTTCTGACAGGTTCTGGAGAACTGGTAGCGGAAATTTTGAGTAGTTAGGAGAACCAGCAAGTACCACCTCTGGCTGGCCCCAGAGTGGAGTGGGAATGGAGATTTTGCAATATCCTTCCCCCAGGAGTGGGGAGGGAATAGGGATTTTGCAGTATCCTTCCCCTGGAATGGGGTGGGAATGGAGATTTTGCAGTATCCTTCCCCTGCCACGCCCACCAAGCCACACTATGCCCACCAAGCCACGCCCACAGAACCGGTAGTAAAAAAATTTGAATTTCACCACAGGTCTCAACATCTTTGTTTCTATCGTGGTGACCAGAACTGTGTGCAATATTCCAAGTGTAGGCTCACCAGTGCAGTATGGAGGGGTACTATCACTTCTCACGGTTTTGAAGTCTCCTATGATTGCCTGAAATTCAGTCTGGAAGTTAGAAATTAGAATGAAAGAGCTGGAAGGGGCCTTGGAGGTCTTCTAGTCCAGCCCCCTGCTCAAGCAGGAGAACCTCTACTATTTCAGATACATGACTGTCTAGTCTCTTCTTAAAAACCTCCAGTGATGGAGCACCCACAATTTCTGAAGGCAAAGCTGTTCCACTGGTTAATTGTCCTCACTGTTAGGAAGTTTGTCCTTAAGTCCAGGTTGCTTCTCTCCTTGATTAGTTTCCATCCAGATAAGTTTCTTATCTTGCCTTCTGGTGCTTTGGAAAATAATTTGACCCCCCCCCCTCTTCTTTATGGCAGCACCTCAAGTACTGGAATCCTGCTATCATGTCACCCCTAATTCTTCTTTTTTTTAGACCAGCCAAACTGAAATCCTGCAGCCATTCTTCATACGTTTTAGTCTCTAGGCCTGTGATCCTCTTAGTTGCTCTTCTCAATGCATGTGACAAGGTCCAGACCACAAATGTTCAGCAATCAAAAATGTCCACCTCAACTTTTTTCGCTTTATTATTAGACTTTCCATCCCAGCTGCCGATGGCCTGAGTGCCTCCAAAGTTTATATTTGCTCTTAGATGAGAGTTTTCTCATCAGCTGACAGAGGGCACTCTTTCTGTTTCCAAAAAACACTTGGGGTGCAAAATGCCACACAGGAGCGGCACTGGCTCTTTGAGTTCCCAACTTGCCATTCTAATGGGAGGGGAGGGAGAAGCCACCAAAAGATAGGCAGAAAATGCTCTGGACAATTGAGTCCAACATTTGGCTGGTCCAATATCCCACAACCTACAGGTGCCCACAGAAAATCGAGTTGGGCTGTGTATCTCCTTGAAGAAAATGTGACTGAATCCCATGTGGTCTATTTCTGAGAAAAACCTTCATAGGATTGGACTCACCCTAAGTTAAAGTTGGAAATTATCATCTGGGAATTACATAAAGGTGAATATATTGCATTTGGGGTTTATATATTTATGAAACAAATGCATATACCCAGTGGTGGGATTCAGCCAGTTCGCACCACTCCGGGAGAACCGGTTGTTAACCTTCTGAGCAGTTTGGTGAACTGGTTGTTGGAAGAAATCATTGGGGCAGAGAACCGGTTGTTAAATTATTTGACTCCCACCACTGCATATACCCAATCACCTGTTAATCTTTGTGTCATTTTTAACTATATACTTTACTTTACTGATGGTGATGTTGGCCATGAAGATACTGGTAGGTAGTCCTTGACTTACAACAGTTTGTTCAGTGACCGTTCGAATTCACCTCATTGAAAAAAAGTGGCTTATGACCATTTTTCATGCTTATGACCACTGCAGCATCCTCATGGTTACGTGATTAAAATTCAGACACTTGGCAACTGTCTCATATTTATGACAGTCGCAGTATCGGGGGGGGGGGTTCACATCATCCCCTTTTGTGACCTTCTGACAAGCAAAGTCAATGGGGAAGCCAGATTCACTTAAGAACCAAGTTACTAACTTATCAACTGCAGTGATTCACTTAACAGCTGTGGCAAGAAAGGTCGTAAAACGGGGCAAAGCTCACTTCACCACCATCTCACTTAGCAACGGAAATTTCGGGCTCCCTTGGGGTCGTAACCCGAGGACTACCTGCAGTTTGCAGGGGAGAATATTTTAAAGGCTGCTCTTAAGGTGCCTCCCTCGGGCTCTGCTAAAAGGTACCTTGGACTCCCGGGAGCCCTTTGCCCAGCTCCTTATCTCTGCTCCCAGGTGTGTAAGCCTTTTGGGCAGCCCTAATCTGCCAGGTCATGCAGAAGGGGAAAAGGTGCTTTTGGCTGAGCTCCAACTTGGAGAGTCTCTCCTACTAACTAGGCGCTCGGAAGCGAACTTCGTGCCAATACACACCCCCGCCCCACCCCCATCACCCCCACCCCCACCCCGCTATTGGCAGGAAAAGCACTGGGGGGGAGGGGAGGGGGGGCTGGGAAGGGAGCCGCATGGTGGGGATGGCCCGGCCGGGGGTCGGGAGGGGAAGCTTCAGCGACGCCCGCCGGAGAAGAGACCGCGAGGGCCGGTCGGGGCGTCCCGTGCGGAAGAGCGGGCCGGGGGGCTCCGTTGGGGCGATCGGCGCTCAGCGGGTCCCAGCCGAGGGGGCGAGGGAGGCGTTAGGCGCCGCTGCCAACCGGGCAGGGAGGGCCGGTCCAGGCAGCCGGCCCGGAGGCGGCGCCGGAGGTGGGACGGGGAGGAACCGTCGGGGCCGGGCAGGAGGCGGAGGCGGACGCTAGGGGGCGCCCATCGGCCGGCAGGTATAAATAGCCGGCCCGGGACGCCTCGGCCAGCCCAGAGCCCGCCCGCCCGCCCCGACCTCGAGCGCCGCCGTTGCCGTTGCCCCCGCCGGCCTCCGACCATGCGCCGCGGTCCGCTCTAGCTACTCGATGGAGCCGGGCAACTTCTACGAGGCGGACGCGCGCCCTCCGATGCCCAGCGCCTTCCACTCGCACCCGCAGCCGCACCGCCCGCCGGTCTCCGCCGCCGCCGCCGCCGCGCACCTGCCCTCGGCCGCGCTCGGCTTCGCCCCGCCGGCGGCCCCCTTCGGCTACCTGGCGGCGTCGGAGCTGCCGGAGATCTGCGAGCACGAGAACTCCATCGACCTGAGCGCCTACATCGACCCGGGCGCCTTCAACGACGAGTTCCTGGCCGACCTCTTCCAGCACAGCAAGCAGCAGGAGCGCGCCGCCAAGGCCGGCCTGGAGTGCGGCGGGGCCGGCATGCCGGGCGCCGGGTTCCCGCCGGGCGGGGCCGCGCTCTACTGCTACGCCGACAAGCTGGAGGGCAGCGCCTACGAGCGGCTGGGCCAGGGGGGGCCGCCGCCGCCGCTGCCCGGCCTGCGCCCGCTGCTCATCAAGCAGGAGCCGCACGAGGAGGAGGAGGAGGAGGAGGAGGAGGCGGCCGCGCTGGCCGCGCTCTACCCGCCGCCGCCCGCCGGCCCGCCCTGCAGCCACCTCCAGTACCAGGCGGCGCACTGCGCCCAGACCACGGTGCACCTGCAGCCCGGCGGGCAGCCCACCCCGCCGCCCACGCCCGCGCCCAGCCCGCACGGCCCGCCGCCGCCCCACCGCCTCCACGCCCACGCCGCCCCGCCGCCCGCCAAGTCCAAGAAGGCGCTGGACAAGGGCAGCAGCGAGTACCGGGTGCGGCGGGAGCGCAACAACATCGCGGTGCGCAAGAGCCGCGACAAAGCCAAGCAGCGCAACGCCGAGACGCAGCAGAAGGTGCTGGAGCTGAGCAACGACAACGAGCGGCTCCGCAAGCGCGTCGAGCAGCTCAGCCGCGAGCTGGACACCCTCCGCGGCATCTTCCGCCAGCTGCCCGAGAGCTCGCTGGTCAAGGCCATGGGCGGCTGCTCCTGAGCGGCCGGGACAGGCGCCTCGGTCGCGGGCCCCCCGCCGGCTTGCCTTGCCGACCTCGGGCAGCCGCGGACAGGAAGCCGGGGCCGTGGGGAGCGCGGACCTCGAACCCTGGCCAGGAGCAAAAAGCGGGCGCCGGGCGGCCCGGATTGGACCCTCCGCTTCTCCGCTCAGGGTTTTGGCCCGCCCGCCCCGTACTGTGAAAGCCGTCTCTCGTAGTTGTCGTCGTCGTCGTCGTTATTATTATTATTTTTATTTTATTGCTCAGAGCCTTGCCATCTCAGCAGCCGGGACTAACGCTGTGCACAGAACTCTCCTTAGCCATAGGGAAAAACTTTGCCAAACTTTGTCTCTTGTTGTACGGCCGGTGACTTTGGAGCCCTGGCTTGGAACCGGTGCAGAACTTTTCACCGAGCTTCACCTGGGTAGGATGGGCCCTCCAGGGGTTTCAGGCACACACACACACACACACACACACACACACTGGTCATTTTGGGGAGAATGCTGAGCTCCTTTTTCACGGCCACTGCTTTGGACTCCACCTCCCAGTCAGCACTTTCAAGCATCCGATGGACATCTTCACCTAAGTGCCAATTTTAATTGTACCGAGGTGTCAACGTTACCTCCATCTTCCTAAGAATTAATACCCGGGAATTCTCTCTTTGTAAGGTGTATTTTGGGGGATTAAACAAAGATGCAAGACTGTTTTAGAAATTCCAGTTTAAAATCCCTAAATAAAATGCAAATATTCTGTCATAAACCTTTATTTTCCTGTCTGTTGTTTGCAGCTTCCCCTGGGAGCCTAAAGTTTTACTGGAATTTTATGTGCAATCCAAAATGCCTTTGGTTGCAGTCTAAACCTGAAGTAAGCCCCGTGGTGTTGAATGGGACTTAGCTGGTTGGTAAAGTCGGTTTATATTACTCAGGGTATTTAAACTTATCCTTACTTGTCTTGGATAAAGTTTTATGTGCATTTGTGACTGGCTGCTGAGAAGGGGGGTTTTATAGGATAGCTGGTTTGCTGAAAATGCCTTGTCCTGCACTTTTTTTGGGGGGGAGGGGGAAGGTATTCCAGGTGTGGATCTCTTCCTCCATGGCCTGGGATTGGCCTGGGATTCATAGGTGTCCCATTGTTAACTGTTTCAGAAGGTGCCAGTCTGGCACTCCCAACAGAGGATAGATGGATAAATAAACTTTTGCTAAATTTTACTGTTCAAAAGTCAGTTTTTTGTAGGCTTCTGTAATTTATTTTAAAATTATGTTAACTGCTCTTCACTTCTTCTGCAGTTGTGTTCTCTGTTTTCTCATCCAAGCATGGATGTTTAAAGTTCATAAGCGTAAGTTAGCTTTATGCCTTGGATGCTGACTTAGGAGGACATAGACCAACCAATGCATGTGTGAATAAGTACCTTGGGGTTGTAAGGGTCTGTGTGGAAGAGAGAACAGCGGAATTGCTGCTTAGGACCCAATTCTGATTTGATAAGCATTTTAATTTGCTTCTAATGAAGTCAACAAATTGTTCTGCTTGAGGCAGAAAAAAAAAAGAGGGGAAAAGACCTTTCCAGGTGGATTTTTGGAAAACAACATTGCCCTTGTAACTTCTGTGTCTTTTCCAAAACCTTTAAAAAAACCACACATTTTATTTAATGGTTACAATTATGCTCATGTTTGGCATGTTCCCTGCTGAAAGCCCTGCATTTTGCTTTGTGTAGAATAAGAAATTGGATCTGGTCCTGTCTCCCCTCCACCCTCCTTTATTGAGCTTATCCTGGGTGAACCCCTCCTGGTGTTCTCCCAAAATCATATTCCAGATTTTCAGCCAAAGCTTTGTATGTTTGCTGATTTGCTTCAACTTTCTTTCCTCTCCTGTACCAAAGCTAAGATTTCCCGATCACCCCCACCCCACCCCCCTCCCACCCCTGTAAAAGTGGGAACAAGGCTGGGTCAATGGGTCCAGGGTGAGAAGCTTCCTTTTCCAAGCTGGGGACTTCATGGACACGTCCAGCGTTCCTGCCAATGAGGTGGAAGAAGCTTGTCGGCCCTTTAGAATGTATCTTCCACTTCCTCACTTCCAGCCCTGGGTTGCATCTTAATGGGTGCCCATCCTAGGATGAACCCATTCTGAACCTGCTTAGCTTTTTGAGATCATGCAAGGTCAGGAGAAGGGGCAGAGAAGGAGGGGAAGTGAGGCAAGGCCTGTGACCAAAAGTGCACGGTAGACCCTGATCAGTTAATAGTGCTATGCATGAGAGCAAATGCCGAAGATGCCCAAGTGCTTGCAGCCCTTACAGGTAGTCCTCGACTTACAACAGTTCACTTAGTGACCACTCAAAGTTAAAACAGCACTGAAAAAAGTGACCTATGACCATTTTCCACCCTAGTCCTCAATTTATAACAGTGCATTTAGTGACGATTCGAAGTTACGATGACTGGAGAACCCCCTGTTCATAAACTGGCAGTAGATCTCGGCCCCCAGCAGCCTCCAAATATTTCAGCCATGTTCTAATCCTTAACCTAATAGACGGGGAATATGAAATTCAGGTAGTCCTCGACTTATGACAGTTTATTTAGTGACCATTTAAAGTTACAACAGCACTGAAAAAAACGACTTATGACCAATTTTCACACACCCCATTGCTTCCCCATGGTCACGTGATCAAAATCCAGACACTTGGCAACTGACTCCTATTTATGACGGTCGCAAAGTCCTGGGGTCATGTGATCCTTTTTTGCAACCTTCTGACAAGCAAAGTCAATGGGGAAGCCAGATTCGCTTAACAACCGTGTGACTTACTTAACAACTGCAGGGATTCACTTAACAAAGGTGGCAAGAAAAGTCGTCAAATGGGGCACAACCTCACTTAACAAACGTCTCACTTAGCAACAGAAACTTTGGGCTCAGTTGTGGTCGTAAGTCGAGGACTTGGTTTTAAGGGACACGCATCTGATCTCGAGAGAAGCATCATCCTTCTGTCTCCAGCTGCAGACAGGGCAGCTGTCCTGGCTTCCTGCTGTTTGCTTCTCCCAAACCCCTCTGTGAGGAAGGGGGGGGTCTCTCTTTCTGCCTTTTTGCTGGCTCTGAGAAGAGACAAGTCATTTAGGATATTCTCTCCCATCCTGGAATATTCTCCAGCATTCTCAGCCTTGCGAGGTAGTCCGTTCAAGGAGCACAACCAGGAGTACTACTAGCTCTCTCTTTATTGTAAGGTCACATTAATGGAATCTTGCAAATCTGAACGTATCCTTCCCGTCCCTCACTTCTACTTTCCTGGAAACAAGGAGGGTCCTAGTGAGACATTTGCACTACCCTTCTTCCTTGGGATGCAAATTTTGTTTATCCGACCATTGTCTAGGCCAGGGGTCTCCAACCTTGGCAACTTTAAGACTTGTGGACTTCAACCCTCAGAGTTAATTTTAATTTTTATGTAATTTTCTAATTTGTTGAATGTTTTCTTTGTAAGCCACCCTGAGTCCTTCGGGAGAAGGGCGGCATATAAATTAAATAAATAAATAAATAAATAAATAAATAAATAAATAAATAAATAAATAAATAAATAAATAAATATTTCTGAAAACCTCTAGTTATGCAGCACCACAACCCCAGGAAGCAAACAAATCAATTCCATTGATTAATTGTTTTCACTGTCAGAAAATTTCTCCTAGGTTGGAGCTCTCTTTAATGATCTTCCACCCTTCACTTCTTGTCCTGGCCTCGGATACTTTGGAGAATAAGTCAATCCCCTCTTCTCTGTGACAGCCGCTCCAGTACTAGAAGATGGCTGTCATGTCCCCTCTAATCCTTTAAGTTACGGGAAATTCCCATTTCAGGGTGAGACATCTGGAACAGCTGCAAGCAAAGGCATTCATTTTCCACCAAAGGTCAGAGCAACCAGACTGTTCTGAGAAGCTAAGATAGAAAAGGGCCAGTACTCAGGCCTTCCAGATCAGGTCCCAGCGGATCCCAGCGGGGAAGATAGAAGATCCCTTATGCCCAGTTGGAGAATTTGAAAAACAGGCTTTCTGGACGAAATTGGGAGCTGCAGGATTTGAAAACACTTGCATGCAACTTACACAACATACAACGGGCATCTGTGCAGGAGGCAAGGGACAAGTGATGTGATGTGCATGGTGACCCAGACGAAGTCATTTGCATCATGCAAATTATATGTGTTGTATCCCTTGTGTTCTGTTGTCATAACATACATGGCATCACTGTAGCTTGCACTAGATGCCCATGTGCAACAGAAAATATACTTTTCAAGAAGTCCCATCTTTCTCAGATACCAAACCCAAAGCAGCAGAGGCAGACGGTTGTTACTTGTTACAGATGTGAGGGTTGATCCGATCCTTCTCAAACAGATGTTTCAACTTATGGAAACAGGTTGCACCCCCACTTCAGTTCATGGACGTGTCTCTCATGCGCTGTCCATGTGCAGAAATGACAGTCTCCAAAACAGAAGTGGGGCTGGAAGGGACTTCACTCACCTGCAAAAAGTTCAGAGAAGAGCGACTAAGATGATCAAAGGCCTGGAGACTAAAACATGAAGAACGGCTGCAGGATTTGGGTCTGGCTAGTCTAAAGAAAAGAAGAATTAGGGGGGACATGATAGTATTCCAATATTTTGAGGGGCTGCCACAAAGAAGAAGGGGGTCAAATTAATCTCCAAAGCCCCTGAAGGCAGGACAGGAAGCAACGGATGGAAACTAATCAAAGAGAGAAGCAACCTGGAATTGAGGAGAAACTTCCTAACAGTGAGCACAATTAACCAGTGGAACAGCTTGCCACCAGAAATTGTAGGTGCTCCATCACTGGAGGTTTTTAAGAGGAAACTAGACAGCCACTTGTCTGAAATGGTACAGGATCTCCTGCTTGAGCAGGGGGCTGGACTAGAAGACCTCCAAGGTCCCTTCCAGCTGTATGCTATGCTATGCTATGCTATGCTATGCTATGCTATGCTATGCTACTATAAAACCCTACATGGCTTAGGCCATGATCATCTCCTGCCATCCTCCCATCGTCCCGTGCGCTCCCCAGAGCGGGCCGCCTCAGGGTGCCGTCAGCCAGACAATGTCGGCTGGCGGCCCCCAGGGGGAGAGCGTTCTCTGTGGAGCGCCGACCCTCTGGAACGGATTGCCCACCGGCTTAGGACAGCCCCTGACTCCTCTCCTTCCGGCGCGAACTGAAGACGTGGCTCTTTCATCAAATGGCTGACCCGTTGGGGGATTTTTACATTGATATAATTTTAACTAATTTTAGTTGGATTTTAATTTTTATGTAATTTTCTAATTTGTTGAATGTTTTCTTTGTAAGCCACCCTGAGTCCTTCGGGAGAAGGGCGGCATATAAATTAATTAATTAAATAAATAAATAAATAAATAAATAAATATTTCTGAAAACCTCTAGTTATGCAGCACCACAACCCCAGGAAGCAAACAAATCAATTCCATTGATTAATTGTTTTCACTGTCAGAAAATTTCTCCTAGGTTGGAGCTCTCTTTAATGATCTTCCACCCTTCACTTCTTGTCCTGGCCTCGGATACTTTGGAGAATAAGTCAATCCCCTCTTCTCTGTGACAGCCGCTCCAGTACTAGAAGGTGGCTGTCATGTCCCCTCTAATCCTTTAAGTTACGGGAAATTCCCATTTCAGGCAAGGAGCCTGGTGAGACATCTGGAACAGCTGCAAGCAAAGGCATTCATTTTCCACCAAAAGGTCAGAGCAACCAGACTGTTCTGAGAAGCTAAGATAGAAAAGGGCCAGTACTCAGGCCTTCCAGATCAGGTCCCAGCGGATCCCAGCGGGGAAGATAGAAGATCCCTTATGCCCAGTTGGAGAATTTGAAAAACAGGCTTTCTGGACGAAATTGGGAGCTGCAGGATTTGAAAACACTTGCATGCAACTTACACAACATACAACGGGCATCTGTGCAGGAGGCAAGGGACAAGTGATGTGATGTGCATGGTGACCCAGACGAAGTCATTTGCATCATGCAAATTATATGTGTTGTATCCCTTGTGTTCTGTTGTCATAACATACATGGCATCACTGTAGCTTGCACTAGATGCCCATGTGCAACAGAAAATATACTTTTCAAGAAGTCCCATCTTTCTCAGATACCAAACCCAAAGCAGCAGAGGCAGACGGTTGTTACTTGTTACAGATGTGAGGGTTGATCCGATCCTTCTCAAACAGATGTTTCAACTTATGG